GAGGTGAACTATAATTATTGTGAAGCTCAGAGTCTAGAGATAAACTCTGTCAGGCAGAACACAGTCATATCGAACCATCCAATATCAGAGATTCCCTTCTGCAACCCCTTATTAGAGGTGATCTCTCGAACAGTCAGCCGAGATCGAAAACCTTGGGATTGATCAATCTCTGTGATCAGTCTTGGAAAGTTCCCCTCTGGACGGCACTGTGTTTTTCAAGTTCAGATTCCTTGGGCCCTGACCGAGCAGAAGTGGAGAGTTCACATCTCAGTGTCCTATCCCGGGCCTGGTTGCCCTCTCGCACATTTCAAAAACAATGTGGTGTGTTCACAGAGAACTCCCTTCTATAAAGTTTGAATTCTAGTTGCATTGTGGAGATTTTGCATTTTGTGTCTCTTGATATCATATATTTATATTGGGCAGAATTTTTGTAGTATTTATTAGTATGCAGTCGATATAAAAATGTTAGTATTCAAAATAAAAATGCTACACGAATCTTTCCCTTGTTTGTAGCACCAGGTTGAAGGCAGAGCATAACAAATAAAAGCCTTACGTTTTCATAAAGATGTGGGTGTGGGTGGCCTGACGTCCAAGTTGACCTCCACAGTTCACTTCTGAAACATTTCCTTAACTAAACTGGCTGCAGAGCTGCATCCTCCACAGACAGGCAAAGACCACATACCACTCAACCGCATTCACCCAACAAGTGATTGCTAATGTCTGCTCTGTGTCCTAGATTGTGATGAGGTCTGGGAAACAAAATGAAAAAGAGTGTGCTCTCAAGAAACTCCCACTCTGGTTGGGAAGGTAGACCTATAAGGAGGTAAAGTTATAAAACAGCAATCAGAGAACCAACTGGATATAGTCAAAGACAAAGAGCACAGAGAAAATGTGATGGAATCTGTCAAGGGAAGGGTGACATTAGCAGAAACTTCCTAGAGTCTTGATACTGAAAATGCAGTTGGTCCCTGGACCAGTAGTAACAGCAGCAGCAGCTTGTCAGAAGTGCAAATTCTCAGACTTCTCCCCAAACTGACTGAAGAAGAATCTATTTTAACAAGAGCCACAGGTGATTGTATGCACATTAAAGTTTGAGAAGCATTGTCTTAGAGAACATAAAATCTGACTCCGTTTTGAAGATGAATTCTGGGTTTTAGCTTGTTAGTTTGTTTTTAGACAAGCAGGCAGAAATAGATGAAATGCTTTCTAGGTAAAGGGAATAGCATGATGTCTTGGGAGCTCTTACTACAATATTGTTGTAATTAAGAGAGGACAATGTGTGTGTATATCTATATATATGTATATGTATGTATACATATATGTATATTTATGCTCAGAAGGACAGAAATAATAGATGAGATGTCTAAAAGGAAACAAGTTATAAGTCTAGGCCAGGATCGTATTTAAAAGACCAAAATGTTGACTCTTTAGGCAGGGAAAAACCATGTCACTGAGTAGGGGTGAGAATGTCAAATTTGCATTCAAAGAGATACTCTGGCAGCGTGGTGGTAAAGGGATCTGAGAAATGCAAAACTGGGGAGAGAAAAAACCCTTTTGAGATGGCTTTTGCCTTGTTCCAGATGGGTGTTCATACTTCTTCTCGGATGCGCCCACCTGCCACACGTGATCGAACTCCTTAACAACACAAGCAGGATTCAAATTCAGATCTTAGTCTAATTTCTATATGCGTCCTACTGGATCTCATCAAAATCCAAGCCAGGCTAATAATAATAAAACGAACAGCTCCCATTTGGGGCATGTTTTATGTACAAGACTCTGGGCTTAGTGTACCCTATTTATCATACCATTTAATCCAAACAAAGAAGCATTTCTCTCTCTCTCAGTTTTACAGATGATGTTCGTGGGCTCAGGAGGTTAGGGAAATCCCAGAAGGCTTCCAGTTAGTTGGAGCTTGAACCCAGATCTATCTGTCTCCAAAAGCTAAGCCTCACTCATTTTGTGGGGCTGATCAACCTTCACAGAATACAACAACACCCATCCCATTGTGCCTGGGCTACAATGTGGCATTCCAACAGCGGCTCAGCATATGCTCAACACCTACCTATCAGTCCTTATCAAAATAATGTTGAATAGCATGTGTTTAAATAAAGAGAATGTGCTCTCTGCTATCAAATTATGTGCTAAGAGAGACGACTCTGTAGTTCTGGCTGGTTCTCCAGAACTTGTGGGCAATGGGCAGTGGGCAAAGTGAGAGATGGGCAGTGGGCAAAGTGAGAGACAGACAACAGAAAAGAGAAAACCCACAGTTCCCAAGGACCAGAGATAGAGTGGCTATATTCCAGCACCAAAACCAGCCTCAAGGTTTCATTTCTAAAGTAGCAGGCCTGTTTCTCAGGATTGTGAGAAGATGGCTTGAGCCCATTCATAACGAGGATTTAGCACCGAGGCTGGCCTCAAATGAACACTCAATCATTATTAAATGTTTGCTTCAACCCATTGTTGCCGATTCTGAGAAAGTAATAGGCAACTCTGTTTCCTATGGAAAGACCTGGGATCATGGTTTCTACCTGCCATAGGTAACCCTGTCCTGACTGGTCCTCAGTTCTTTTGTCTTGGAAATTAGGCTTTGAGCAAGTGGTCGGGTTTTATCTAATGAACAATGTAAATTGTGTAACTGGCCAACAGTTTTCTCTCCCTCCCTCTCTTTTTTATTTTTTTGCTAATCACAAGAATGCTTAGAATCACAAGAATGTGTGAGCCTATTGTAGCAAGAATATAGTTTTATTATTATTTATATTTGTCTCTTTATCTTATACTTTTGCCCTTCTCTATTATTCTTTTAAAATATTTTCTCATTTATTTCAATTTTAATGTAATGTATTTCTGTAATTTGCATTAAATATATTTTTGGAAATGAGTGTCAGTAGTGTCGGGGGGGAGGGGCA